GGAAATCCCCTAGATCTGGAAAACAGTGACAATAAAAGACAGCCATTCGAATGTCCGGGATGACCTATCCTAATAGTGGAGTCATTCCAAAACAAAAACCATCAGGGAAAGAACTTCTCGCCTCATTAAGAGACAGTAAATGCAGCTGAGCAATTAATTCTTGGTCTTAGCGACCAAACTCGAAGTCACTCTCACTGGCAGTTTCATTAATAACAAGAGATGCGAAAACCTCTGGAATTAGCAAGTAGTTCCCACCTATTATCTACTCTAGCGTTCACGTGGAGTAACTAGACGATAGAACCAAAAAGTGACCATCGGTATTGACCAATGGAGACCTGTGGTCATTCCTCCTGTTCAAGCTTACAAAACGCTGACAATCAATGGAAGTCAACATCCGAGAGCCCAAAGGCAGGAAAGGGAAATGACAAAGGAATAGGAAATGAACCATCAAATACAAAGGAGTGGAGTTAATTTCTCTCTCCATTAAGTTCTTCTAAATTAACAATACCCGACCATTCCCAGGTCAGACCAAAGTAGCAAGCCAAGAAAACAGTATGTTCGTGCTCATGTTCTCACTCTTCCTCTCTTCCACACTCCCTCTCTCTCCCCAGGGACTTGTCCCTCCCTAACCTTCCTCTCTTCAGTCATTCATCAGACTGTGCTTTTAAGAAAAGGACCCATGTCTATCATCTCTTCGCTGTTAAACAGTCACCATATTTCAACTTCATCTACACTAAAGAGTTCCAAACTCTTTTATCCCAATCTACAGCAAGAAATACAAGAAAACACAAGAGTTTGTGCATAGCAATCCTTACTCTTTCTACACATGATGTACTGGATATTTTCTATTCTAGTTTATTTAATGTTTTAAATGTTGGTTGCACTTTCAAACTAATCAAAACCAAGAGGATGAAAAACAATGAGCTACATAGTCAATGTACTGTCAATCAGTGTACCAACAGAGAAAAGGTTTTGAAAGAAATTTGTTGACGGCCATAGAATAGTACAATAAAATATTAATTTGTAACAAGTTCAGTTATTTTACCATAACATAACCTGGGCTTACTATGTAATATTGATCAAGCCCTAGGAATTATGGGAAATTTCATAAAATTTACAACATATTATGCTATTTGTTTTTTGTTTTTACACTGCTATGCTAATGTATGCCTTGTAATTCCACATGAAATTCCTAAAATTCCCAAAGTGCTAATTCTGGCATCCCTGTTCTCACTCATAAAGCAATAGATTCTTAAAAACAGAAAAGAAAGAAATGGAAAAATAATAGCCATCACTTAGAGAACATGCTTCTACCATGTGCCAGCATTGTGTTAAATCAAATCGCTGTACTTATCCACTATTCTTCTTCGAAGAGACTATTAGGTGGCTAGTATAAAGGAAATAAGTGCCCAAGCTATATTTCTGAGACATTTATAAGATCCTACTTGAGGATTTTTAAAAGATAATTTTAATCCTCTGTATTAAATGAACATATTGACAATTTGGTGTGATTAATAAACTCTACTCAGGAAAAGCTAATGATAAGGAACAGCCGAAGTGAAGGACAATATACCTTCAAAAAGATTCAGATCCCTCTAATCAAGTCATCATCACCTCACTTAACTGACCCACGCATGAAAAAAATGTGAATAATCTTTAAAACTATGCCAATGAAAGAAGAAGTTACAACCACAGTACCTGCTGACGTACGCTAGCAACAAGTTTATTCATTGTTCAGGTTAGTGTGTGTGCTTGTGTATCACTGAACAAGCTATAAAATTACTGTTATTTAAGGTTAATTTAAATGTAATGTCACAAAGTCCAAGATTCAGGAAGTATCAAAAACCAGTTATTCACATATAAATAGCTAGGATGTTTCTTTTGTATTGAGTAATACCATCTTACATCTATTTTTTAAGTAAATTAGTAAAGAATTACCTTAAACTCCCATTTCCCATTTCAAAGTAGAGGGTAGCCAATTGAATGAATAATAAATTTAGTTATTACTAGGAAGTTACTTTTACTTCTACAACTCTACTGTAACTTATTCTAGAGTTAGACTACTGACATCAACACTCTAATTTTATGAACATACAAATCATAATTATTTCAACAACTTAAAAAACAAAGGAGACAAAACATAGTCTTTCAAGTTTTATTGGACACAACTAGAAAATATGTTTTATTAAATAGAAAGTGACCTATGGCCTTAGGGAAGTCTCATGCCCTTGCTCTATTGCTATTGGCTTAATCCCCTCGTCCTCTCTGGAGCGCTACTTATGTACTCGCTCAAGCACTGAGAGCAAGGATGCTGCCAAATACATTCACCTCACTTTGAATCGTCATTTTCTTATTGTCATGACACTGTAATGAACAAAACATTAACTGTACCAATATAAATGTGAAATGGGCCATAAATAGAAATAAAGTGAAAATGATGGAAATAAAGCAAGGTAGAATCTTGACTGACTTTTTTTAAAAGTAGCCTGTCATAAGCATAAAAATAAGGAGTATCTAGATGATACTTTAATATAAATAGCCACACACAAATATATAGCATATATTATAAAGTATTTAACTACTACTGCTCTCCTGTTTCAAATAGTGGATTTTTAAAACTCAAACTAAAAACTGGATCACTTTAAGTAAAATCTAAATTGACAAATTTAACCCCAACAAATATTCCTTGGAAATTTCCATTATAGACCCCAAAAAAAGTTTAAAAAATTAAATTGAGGTCCAGTCACTAGCTGGAAACTTTATTAATCTAATTGTTTTTATATAATGTTAGGCAATGAAAAAAAAAAATAGGGCAGTTCCCCAAAATGTAGTAATCAATTCAGACATGAAGAACAACTGACCTATTTCAATACTTAAATGAAGAGACTGGCATTCTTAAATAACCTAAATCCTCAAATAACTTAAAGATAGTAACTACTACTTATGGCACATCTTGACAGCTTCTCCATTTTTACATTCCTTTTCTTACTCTTTACCCAGACTTCTGTGGTTGGTAATTCCCACTTTCAAGACCTCATACTCCCAACTTAAAAATGACTGAGACTTAACAGACACTACCTGGCCCAAAGTGCAAAAAGTCAGTCCTTAAAAATTCTGGTCTCTGGTTCTCTATCACTGAGAAACACAATAGACGTTTACTTAGAAGACTGTACATTTTTGTTATGTTGTATCAGATTTCCACAAAATATGAAGCATATTACTAAAACTGAATTTGTTTTGAATTGTGAAAAGTCCCTGGTTTAATATACTTTTAAAATGTATTAATAAAAATAGAGTTTATTTGGCCAAATACTTGACTTGTTTCACTCAAATTAAGTATGTATAACGAGTTTTTAAAATATATAAGAAACAAAACCCAAGGAAACATATTTAGTGGAAAACATCCATGAGTTATTCTGATAATACTGTACAGCAAAATATCTCAGAACATAAAACTACTACGTAAACTCTTAATACAAAAGGCAATTGGGCATAAGGTTTTCTCTTTTTGTCATAATTTTAAAATTATATTTACTACTGGTACATAAGAAGAGTTCTTTCACTATTCTGAAGATGAGAAAGAATAGATAATAGCAATCATAATCAGACTAGAATGAGTTCTTGAACCATAATTCAAGAACTGAAACCCTAATTCTAAAAGCACCAAAAACTTTTCTTTAAACCTCAAAAAAAACTCTCTAAACTATTTCTAAATTTATAAAACATGGGATGTAAAACTACACGTAATAAAATATTTTACTCTGCACATAAGAATAAGACATACAAAACCAGTCCCAAAGTCAAAATTGTCTCACTCTTAACAGAGAAGTCACTTGAAAGATGGTTTAGAATTCGTCCCTTCCCAGTAAAAGTCTGGTATTCTGTTTCAAAAAACCATCCTATTCACTTATATGTAAGCAATCTTAAATGAGTGATTAACCTGACAAGCTAACTTTTAATAAATTTCAAATTAAAAGACAACACGAAATAATCACCAATTGACTTTTACTCCAGGAACATAAAGCTGACTTGGGAACAAAGACATTCTCGTATCAAAACTTTCCAACCAACTAAAATGCCTCGTTTTACGAAGGTAACACAGCACTGCTGGGGCTGAGCCGCCCAAAGCCGCGCACCAATGCAGGGTGGGCGATGGGAACAGCTGGACGCGCCAATGGACTTGGATGTAACATTGGACGCGGCTGAAGGTCACCTGGGAGCGCCTGCTCTCAGCACTGCTCCTCCCCACGACAGCGGGTCTTCCAAACCACATCCGAACTCAGGAGAAGGAAGACAAAACGCTGACCATTTTAGATATGAACTAAATGTAGAGCAAATCAAACTTCAGCCAGGAGCTGCTCCCGAACGCTCTCTCCCAACTACCGCCACAACGTGTTTGAACATGTAGACACTTTATCCTCCAAACACGGCAGTTCATGGCAAGTCCATGTGTAGCTGTTCCTTTGCTTGTCCTAAACGGGGATGAAACAAAACCCGCCGATAGCCACCTTCGGGTTCCTGTTGACGTCAGCTATTTTAATATCTCCTCCCATTTTCCAGAGCGATTTCCAAAGTCTGGGAAGGAATGTTTCCACTAATAAATACCTTTGCATTGAATGTCTGTTACACCCCCGGGAGGCATCCAGCTCTGCCCATCACAGAATTACTCAAAAGCTCTTAACCGCTGACCTAAAAACCTAAGTCTTTTCTCGTAAATTCCACATTAATTCGTGGCAACAACTGAGCAGCCTGGTTGGACTCCTGGGAAAATAGTCACCAAAACCTAGAAAAAAAATTCTGGAATAATTGGTGTCTATTCTCTTATTGTGTGTGTGTATATATATATATATATATATGTATTATTTAAATATTACATATGACATATCATGGCAATGTTATATATACTATATTACATACTTTATACCGTATATTATATGTTTATATACTCCGTTTACTCATAGTAACTCTCTATAACAATTACATGATAATGACAAACTCACCCCATTCTAGGTATTCCAGAATGTTCTTCTCCCTTCTCAGCGGAGAGTTGTTGCATTCGTCGTACAGGCAGATGAGAATGTCCAGCAGGGTCTCCACGCTGAAGCACTGCCCGTTGGTCCGCGCCGGCCCGTCCAGGATCAACTGCTCCAGCTGCCGCAAGCGCACTTCCCCGGACATGGTTGGTGGCTTGGGGTCCCGCCGGCTGTCCTCCGACTGGTGGGCGACTCCTCCGGGGATGCTTTGAGCCCAAGTGTTAAAAGCTGCGGTTTTTTAAAAAAACAAACCGCTGGTGATTCCAGCCACTGTCGCGCAGCGCCGGTGCCGAACCGAACATCCAACACGCCGCTGCCCTCACTTGACTGCCGCGTCTTCAACTCCGCGCATGGACATATAGGTGGGGGGGTGGTTACCATAAAATATATATCTGATATATTTTTTTAAAGAATACAATTAAGTCGTAGATTTAAATAAAATAATAATTAAAAGTACAACGAGCCAACGAGTCAACACTTCTTTCGGGGAAGGGGAGAGGGGGGGATCAACAGCTCTTCTCCTTCATTCAAAATTCAGCTCCTGCAACCGAATCCCGACGCGAAGCCCGTTGCATCATTCATTAGGTCCGCGGCGCATCAGCCATTCGCTTCCCGGGAAGGAGGAGCGCGGAGCAGGGAAGACCAGGCCAGACGCCGGGAAGGGGGAGGGAAACCCCAAATCCGCTGCAGATCCTCGCCACCGCCGCTGGGCCGGTGCATCCGCG